TAGACTTATAGTTTTACCATGAGTTGTTGATGCATCTTTGAAGTGAATAACTGGCTATTAATATTCCTACTTAGTTTGTAATTGTGCTTTATCTTTTCTAGTTTTCTTGTTTTGATTATACTTCTCTAATAATGTTCTACACATGGGTGAGCTCTTGTAGTACACTACGTGTTAATTTGTGAGTATAATTTGTGTGAAGATCAGCCATTAGGATTTGGTAGAAAAATGATGATTTTTTAAATTATTTTTGTATAGGGAATGGAATGCGAGTATTGCCACAATGATATTGCTAGGCTCAACCCTAGGGACTGTTGGTATTGGTTATCAAGGGATGGTCTTAATCTTGCAAGTTTGAGAGGCAAGTAAAGTACAAGAAGTCACTATGCCTATGATACTCACTCCTCCATATACTCTACCTACGATAGTCACTTTGCACAAATTTTATTTTGATGTTGTATCATTATCCAAAATGTGTTTCCTTTTTTAAATCATTGTAAAATGTATGTTGTATTAAGTTGCTCCATTAATATGTAAGTAAATATTAAGTTATTAGATGATATTAATATTTTGAATATATGATTTATTTTTGTTTTGTGATTAATATTTTATATTTGAAACAAATTTTTAATTATTAAAAATGGGTGTCAATGATTTAGAGAGACAACATAAAATAACTGTGTTCGGATACACAACTCAACCACTGTTCAACTTGATAGTTTGAATCGTATGCCGACAACTACACGCACATGTAGTGTTAATCACTGCTAGACATCTGAAACACACAGTTGTTTGAAATTAGACAAATTAGTCTTCTATGTTCTAGATATACCTTAAAAAACAACAGTTGTTTGATGCAAATATTTCTAGTGGTCTTTCAAGAAGTTGTCTGATAACTAATTTGATTACTATTCAAACATATAGTTTGAATATTTCAAGGACAACTAAACAAAATCATAGTGTTAATAATCGTTATACAACTAAAACAAACAGCTGTTTAAAATAAGATCAAAGTAGTAGTCTCAATTTGTACGTACAACACAAAATAACAGTTGTTTGATGAAAATATTGTAGTGGTCTTCCGAGCAGCTGTCTGATAATCAATTACACTACTATTCAAAAATATAGTTTGAATATTTCAAGGACAACTGCAAAAAAGCATAGTTTTATTGCGCATTATACAATTAAAAGAAACAATTGTTTAACATACAACAAAATTAATAGTCTATGTTTTAGAAATATAACACAAGATAACAGTTGTCTCATACTTTTTCATTTAGTAGTCTTCCGAGCAGCAGTCTGATATATCTTTTAACTACATTTGAAATTAGATATCTATATTTTTGATCGACAACACCAAATAATAGGAGTCTGAAGTCGAAAACAAAAGTAGTATCTATTATAGAAAGACAACAAAAAATCACAGTGGTCTTTAACTCCAGAAAACAGATGTCTTACTCATACGAGGACAACTTCAAAAACATGTACTCCGAAAGATCACAAAATAGGTGTCGTCAACCGTACTACACAATTGTTTTTAAACAGTAGTTTGTAAATATATCAGACAGCTGCTCGGAAGACTACTAAAACCAACAAAGTTAGACAACTAAAAGAAACAGTTGTCAACATTTGTTTTTGACGTAGTGATCACACACCTAACACCCGAGGACCCAACGTAAATTGGGTACCTAAAACTCATTGATGTGTTTTATAGGTGTGCTTGAAGGCATCAAGTGTACTTTGGTACCTTGATAGCGGATGCTCCAAGCACATGACCGAGGATGCATCCAAGTTTCTCCAAATCAAACCCGCTAAAGGAGGAAACGTAGTTTTTGGAGACAATAGCAAGGGAAAAATTATCGGCATTGGTTCAGTAGGTAAATCTGAAAACTCCTCTATAGATAATGTCTTGCTTGTTAAGGGTCTTAAACACAATCTCTTGAGCATAAGTCAATTATGTGACAAGGGAAACCGTGTGACCTTCGATTCAAAATCATGCACGGTAGAACGCCTTAGTGACAATAAGGTCATTCTACGTGGTGATAGAATCGATAACATATATATGGTTAACTTAGACAAATCTCCCTCCGGCTTTGCTAAGTGTCTCATGAGTAAAGAGGAAGACACTTGGTTATGGCACCGAAGGGTAGCTCATATGAACATGAACCTTTTGAACAAATTGGTTTCACAAGACTTAGTAATTGGCATTCCAAAACTTAAGTTTGAAAAAGACGCCATATGTGATGCATGTCAAAAGGGGAAGCAAGTTCGGGCTTCGTTTAAGTCTAAGAACGTTGTTTCAACGTCTAGACCGCTTCAACTTTTGCACATGGATCTCTTTGGTCCTTCTAGAACGAAAAGCTTTGGTGGCAATTACTTTGCGTTTGTGATTGT